ATTCGGTTTGCGACCAGAGTCGTGGAACGAATTAAGTTCGTGAACCGAGGTACCACTGTATATGCAAATTATCAATCAAATTATAATCATCAAGCAACTGCTTATTAGACCTCAATCTTTCAAAGCTGCCCACCCTCAAAAGCCCTCAAGGATGCTTTTAGCAATCATCACACCTAATCATAAAATAAAATATGCAGTCTCTAAAACATAATGCCTTCAGCCAAGCAAAGATAAGATGTTTAATATAATCAGAATAAAACAAGTGAGAAAAATTTCTGGAGAAGATAATTATCCAGAAGAACACAATTTCAATGGGGTCGTGGTTAACTGAGTAGCACTTGTGGACAGCCACCACAAATTATGCATAATTTCAACTACCGGATAACTAATTTGAAATAGTGCCATCTACATTATTTACAATGTTCTTTGGTTACTATAAAATGCTTTGAAATCCGTGAAAGCCAGAAGCATATGTAGTTTTTGACTACGTTGGGTGGGCTAGCAGAGAGGAACTGTCAGAATCCTCACAACCACCCCTTCGCACAACTGCTTCATTGGCTGTGTTTCTGCCATTCTAGCAGATTGGGGGGGGGGGGGTCAGAGCAAGGACTGCTGGGCACTGATGAGCCATTTCCTAATCTTCCAGATTGATTAAGGGCATAGCAATGGAGGAAATCTGAGAGTCCCAACAACCTATGCGGGAAGGATTCAATGCTCATGGAGGAGGGGGTAATGAAGGGACTTTAAATTGGGGTTAGCACATGGGAAATTTAGTTCCAGCTATTTCTCTGTGCCTTAGAGCTGTGTACTACTGTTTTCTCAATAAATCTCCTTGTCTCTGACCGAAATTTAGTTCCAGCTATTTCTCTGTGCCTTAGAGCTGTGTACTACTGTTTTCTCAATAAATCTCCTTGTCTCTGACCGAAATTTAGTTCCAGCTATTTCTCTGTGCCTTAGAGCTGTGTACTACTGTTTTCTCAATAAATCTCCTTGTCTCTGACCACACACTGGTTTCGATGAGAGTTGCATTTGTTGAGGACTGAGTATAGCGGTTCTTAGAGGAACAATGAAGAGGAAGAGGGCAAAGGAATCTTTGCTGTCTGATTTTGCATGCTAAAGATGACACACAGCTACCTCTGCAGATCTTTCCCAGGCCACTCAAAACTGAACAAATTAGGCTGGACATCTTCCAACTCCAATAAAAGCATTCTGCATCATCTTAGCACCATTTTAAAGCTTTTGTTCACAAATTCTCTGTAAGTTTCGCCTTGAAAGGAAACACCACAGCATTTTGCACAAAAGCATATGAAGAAACCTATCATTAGAAAACAGCTTAAACTGGAGAAGGGGGTTTTAACTGTTTTGTGCCCTCGACCCCTTTCAGAGTCTGGTGGAACCCACGACCCCTTCTCAGAAAAATGTCCTGAAATGCATAAAATAAAATGCAGAGATATAGATTGCATTGCAAAGGAAACCAATTATGCTCCCATAAAGTTATCAAAATATCCAAAAATAATATGTAATATAGAAATATATGTGCTGCATTATCAATCCATGAAATCAATAACAACCCAATGCCGTTTTCTAGGGTATAATAATTTTAGATAGTGAGATTTACTGAAATTAACAAACATTTTTTGGAGTCTAGAGGCCATAAATTACTTTCTTGCCTACAGATGTTATGGAATGAAAAGATAAATTTCAGTTAGAGGTAGTGATAACAAAGTTGCAATTTTTTTCCCCATCCAAGTCTACAGACCCCAAGGGATCCATAGACTCCAGGTTAGTAAGGACAACCTGCGTTCCCCCAGATATTGTTGTATTTCAACTGCTAGTCACAATGATGAACATTTAGTGATGCTCGAAATGGCTGTTTATCAAATCCTGAAGGGCCACAGGGGCTGATCATTACAGTCTATATAACAGCTTCAATAAAAGTACAAAAAATTCTAAATCTTACCAGCCACCACTTTCTTTGGAGATATTATGAATTAAGGCTCCCCGACAGAACGTCAGCTCATCATCCCTCTTAGCTTGATAGTCATACAAGGCTTTAACTGTTCTCTGGGGCTTCAAGAAAGAAGCAGTGGAAAAGCGTTTCAGATCAACAAGTGAGCTGAGAAATTCTGAGAAATGCTATTAAAGCAGAAACACAACCCTGAAGCAAGCACAGACTGTTCCCCATCTCCCAACACCATTTTTCATTGAGATGGACTGTCCTAATTTTGGAATGGAAAAATTAAAGATAAAGGATATTAACTCTCCATTCTTTTCTGCTAAGATCAAGATGAACTTTGATGCAACTCACCACAGAAGGTGTTATTTCGGTGGGCTCTACATACATCTTGACTTCATATAAAGAGCTAGGATCTTTCTCCTAGATTGAAAATCAAAATAAAATAATTACCATCAACGTCTTGAGTCTTAAGCATATTATCTTGCCTACATTATCGTACAGTAACTGAATACTGTTTTACTGGATTTCCCCCCCACACACTTTTGGAATTTCCCTCTCCTCCCTCCCCCCCCAAAAGTCCAGCACTATTTTGGCAAAGTTTGGGGGATCTTTTTTAATATTTGACCTAGCTAGAAAATAGAAGCTTTCATAATGATTGATAACTTCAGTGTTTTTAAGACCTAAAAGCAGTACTTTTTTCTTCTTAGCCTTTTGTTCAAAGAAAGTACCTGATTTTATGTTCAGAACCATGCTGCCTAGACTCCCCCCTTAAGCTGAGCCATAATGTGACTGTGGGTCCTGATTTGGTGTGTTGTCTGATGGCAGCCACCGTGGTATGTAGCACACAGAATTGTAATGGTCCAAGGTAGAACCATTCATCTCCCCACACGTTTATCTTCTGATATAGCCACAAAAGATTTTGCTGTGGCTTATTTTTATCTGCTTGGGATAGAAGACAGTTGGGTCTTTTAATCAGAGTCTGAAGTTGGCTGGATTCAAATCCCCAATTCCCTCACTTTTCAATCAGGAGCCCACCAAGTGCCCTCTGTTCAATCAACAGTGTAAACACAGCTGTAGTGAACACTAAGAGGAAAAAGAGGAGGGGACTGTGCTCTCAGAATAAGCGACTATATGATTTCATGGATGTTTCTGAAGTTATGAATCGCAACTAAAGGATGCTGCATGTTTATGGCAGTTCTAGAGATTCTTACATTTTATGTATAACAAAAAGACCAACACTTTAACTGAGCTGGACAAGCATCTTTGCTATATGTTCTTCTGACCAATAAGTATGTTATATTTTTAATTATTATTATTGCTGTTACAATTATTATTATTATTATTATTTAAAATTCTTTATTTAACCTTATTCATAATACAACGAAGAGAATACATACAACATTAATTAGAGGGTTAATTATGTAGGAATTGGGGAGAAAATAATCATTATGCCTGTTTTCCGACATATTTGGTGGCTATACATCCTTGATTGATTATTAAGGTGCAAAAGGTTTGGTGAGAACCTATCTGATGTAGTGGTTAAGGCACCAGGCTAGAAAGCAGGAGGCCATGAGTTCTAGTCCTGCCTTAGGCATGAAAGCTGGCTGGGTGACTTTGGGCCAGTCACTCTCTCTCAGCCCTAGGAAGGAGGCAATGGCAAACCACTTCCAAAAAACCTTGCCAATATTGTATATGAAAACTGCAGCAAGATTATTGTATACAAAAAGTTGGAAAAGCAACAAAACGCCTACCGTGAAGATTGGATTATAAAATTAACTGAACTTGCAGAAATGGTGAAGCTAGCCAAAAACAACAATTTTTTTTTTTTGAAAGACTGGAAACTTTATATGGACTTCTTGTTGAAAGCAGAAAAGATCAAATTGATGATTTCAGGATTCAGGGATTAAAAAGGGATGAAGAGGATGGGGAAAAAATTAAGATGATAATTAACTGACAGAAAAATGGGCAGGAGGCATAATTGTATGTTTTCTTTTTTATTTCCTTCCTTCTCCTTCTCTTCCTTTCTATCTTTTTTTGTTTGTTTTGTATACTTTTATTATATTGAAAAACTCTAATAAAAATATACATAAAATAAAAAAAACCTTGCCAAGAAAACGGCAGGGACTTGTTTGGGCAGTTGCCAGGAGTCAACATTGACTCAAAGGTGCACACACAAAGGATCTGCCCATCAAAAATTGTGTTGAATAAACTCTTGCTGAAGGAAAACATACGCACATATATAAGAGGTTTCTGAAAGTCACAGAATGGCCAATGTTAGATTTTCGTAAGGGGGTTTTAGCCCCTAGGTTAAAGAGAGAGACTTGCCATGCTATAACGCTCCAGAAGTTCCTCGGTCACCGGATAGCGCAGCTTCATCTTCCTGTACAGGGGGTGCTTCTCATAGTAGTTCACTAACTCCACTAAACTCTCAAAATAAGCAGAGGTTCCCAGGACAAAGAGACGGCCTTCTTGCTTGATTCGACAATGCTTCACTTTCCCCTCCGCTCTGGGGAAGAAACAAAGATGACCTTTTTAAAAACAATCTATTAGTGAGCAGGAACGGCCCTTGGACTTCCAGGCTATTTAGCTGAGCTTTTGCAAAAAGAGATGTTTCATTGTTTATGGATGCCCCCATTTCCTGGCATCCATTAGAAGGGGTCTTGCAATCCTTGAAAAGGAAGTATTAAAGGATCTGTCGCCCCTTGAGATAGTCCAGACAAGAAGAATAAACCATGAGTACGAACACTACCTTTATTGTAAGGTTACAGTATCTACAGTTCTTGAAACTCTGAAAGCACTTCTCCCCTCCCTAACTTTTACTTTCCAGAAAACTAGGGAGGGTCCCTTCTGAAACACTTCCCATGCCCCTTTTCCTTCTGTGGGCTGAGATATCTAGATGATGGTTGTCTAGGCTGCGGCTCTTCCTCCTGTCTCCCAAGGTCATTCCCACAGATCATTACAGGATCTGTCCTCTCCTTTAGCTTGTCTGAAGATGTTTCCAGTCCCTTTGCTCTCCAATTGCCTCCAAACCCTTTCCTACCACACTAGACACTAGGTTTGTCCCTCTGCTTTTCTCCCTGGCAGTTGGGACAAGCTGGATGGGGTAATAATCAGCCATGTTTCTCAGGTGCTGTCTTAACAGGTTTGGACTGTCCAGGGTTAAACAGAACTACTTTCAATTTTAGAGAAGAAGAGGGAATCTGCTAGGCTTAACCTGAGCATTATCCAGCTCTGCGGGTTTGGGGCTTGACAAAGGACATTCTGTAATTCAAGAATCCATGAGACATGATGCTAAAATATTGTCATCTGATTTATCTAACAAGGGGCTCTTTGGAAGCATGTGCTGTAATAGATGAATTAGCCTTCCAGATACCACAAGACTCTTTCTTGTTTTCTTCTGTGAAGACAAGCACAAGGCCCCTCTGGCAATTAATCTTTGTGCCACCTCAAGTTTGTATCTTGCCTTACCTGAAAGTCATGGCATACGAGTCTGGTTCATCTCTCTTCCTTATCAAAAACGCTCCATCCCTTGGAATGCGCATCAACATGTCTTCTGCTTCTCCACGACTCAGGTTACTGTAGTACCAACTACCAAAAAGAGAAAAAGGTGATTGCAACCTGAAAGCTAATCTCATTAATAAGGGATGAAGGTGTATTTTCAGACACCGGATGCTGAAGGAAGCACAGAATTCCTCCTTTCTGCAATAAACAAGTTATTCTTGAATGTTGATACTGTCAGGGGTTTTCCCCTTCCTGCTGGGTAAATCCAGTCCTTTAGATCTCCAAATCAGTAGCCAAATAAAGGCAGGGAGCTGGTGTAAATATAAGCTTTTCCTGCCAGTTCAGTTTAACTGACGCGGAAGAAACAATCCCACCAAAACTTACACCCTTAAGCCCAATTTCAGAAGTGAAGACAGAAGCCCTGTAAGAGTTAATTCACAGCAGTTAAATAGAGGGCCAGATGAAGATGCAACACTGGGAGACCCATGTCCATCTCCATCACCCAGAGCACAGGTCTGTGATTTAGAACGAAGAGAAGCACGGGGTGATGTAAGGCTCTGACTGCCATTCTAACCTTATAGTTTTTCCTTCAAAGCATGTTTCATTAGAGCTGAGCTGGAAAGTAAGTTCTCAGAAGATATCTGCTTGTGAATCCTCTCAAAGCCTCCAACCAAACTGTGGGCAGATAAGCTGCACCAGGATGGGGAACTTTAGAGCATTCATCCTTTCCCTAAAATCAGATTCTCTGATCTTGTTTCACACAAGACTGGAGCAACTAAAGGTTTAAATTGGGGAGGGGGGGGGGGACTGGCAAGCTGTAGACAGATTGCCTGGCCCATCGGTATAGGTCCCAGAACATGCTATAACATTCAGGTGACAAAGCTGTTAATTTTGGTAGCCCATATTATTCTGGTTTGGGCCCCCAAAAACGAACTATGTGGGCACCTCTACCTTAAGGCAACATTTCTCCACGTAAAGCCACTCCAACCAGACACTCCTTGGGCTGCTATAAAAGATGAAGTGGTTGCCTCATGGCCATAGAAATGACGAAATCACCCACTTTCCACCCTTCCTTTGAACAAAAGGAGAAGGGCGTGTTGAAAAGTTGCATCCCTCTCTCGGACCCCACTCACATACGAAAGGGAGACAGACAGACAGACAGACAGAAAAGGCTGTTGCTTCATGTGCCTAGCCAAAGAGTCAATACCAAGCTATATTTCTCAAAACACTTTTCTCAGCTAGAAAATCCAGCTAAAAAAAGACAACAACAAAATCAGCAGGATAAACTGCAACACAGATGAAATGCATCAGTGGCAAGTGCCTGCAGTTTTAAAAGTAGATAAAGCAAAGCAAGAGAACCCAGTTCAATTAAAGCCTCCCGATTCTATCTTGGACAAGCTACTATCTCAGAGCTCCTTTCTCCAAAAAGTTTCCAACTCTTTCCAGACTGCTGAGTTTGAAGGGTATATTCAAGGCATAACTGAACATTGTGGTTGGTTCAGCTGACTGTCCTTGTTGTTTTAAATCAAATTCTCCATACGCCACGGTAGCAAAGACTAACAGAAAGCTTTGGTGTTAAAAATAGCATTTCACCCCACCCTGGAATTTCCTCTTGGCTATACGTACTTCTTCGATTCATGAGGTCTGGGATTCGGTACAGCGTCGGTCAAACGCAGCTCAAACTCAGCACATCGCAAGTGTGCTTCTTTATAATGCTGGATTAGGTCACAAATGCTATCGAAGGTGAGGTTGTCAGTCAGGTAATATTTTATGTTCTCTCCATCTGAAGAAGAACGGATACGGCAGTGTTGGACTCTACCTGATCTCCTAGGACAAATGAGGGGGGGAAATGTTAATTTTTTAAAGAAAACATTAAAAAATCTTGTTCTTCTTTCCATTTGTGAAATATAACTATTTGCATGAGGAAAGGAGAAAGGAAGACCGAAGGAAACTGGGTCTGTTCAATTACACAGAATAGGGCTTAAGATTTTATGACACCCCTGCAGCATGACAACATTTGAGATCAGTCTCAGCATTTTAGCTGCCATCTGTATGGGCATTTCCGATATAACATTTTTCGGTGCAAAATCCATTCGCTTACATGTTTTATATGTTTTTGCAAGAGACTCCAGCCTTGGAAATATATAAACCTCCAACTAAGTGATGCTATTTCATCATTAATCTCAGTTATTGCTAGTTGTGAATTAAAACCCAAGATCTGAAATGGTCTGGAAACACTGGCTTGGTAAAAAGAGTCATGTGGACATAGGTGGACATAGTGTTATAGGCTGATTAAATCAAATCACAAACAGGACGAGGAAGATGGGGGAATTCTTGAATCTGTGGCAAACTTATCTCACTATGGTTGGGAAATTGGGGCCGCCTCATTTAACTGGGCCAACAGAGGACACTTGAGAGCAGTGTTTTTCAAACTTGGCAATTTTAAGAAGTGTGGACTTCAACTCCCAG